GAGGCTCCTCTGTCCTCCACTCGTTACCTGTATTAATGGCACCTGTTTGAACTTGTTATCAGTATAAAAGACACCTGTCCACAACCTCAAACAGTCACACTCCAAACTCCACTATGGCCAAGACCAAAGAGCTGTCAAAGGACACCAGAAACAAAATTGTAGACCTGCACCAGGCTGGGAAGACTGAATCTGCAATAGGTAAGCAGCTTGGTTTGAAGAAATCAACTGTGGGAGCAATTATTAGGAAATGGAAGACATACAAGACCACTGATAATCTCCCTCGATTTGGGGCTCCACGCAAGATCTCACCCCGTGGGGTCAAAATGATCACAAGAACGGTGAGCAAAAATCCCAGAACCACACGGGGGGACCTAGTGAATGACCTGCAGAGAGCTGGGACCAAAGTAACAAAGCCTACCATCAGTAACACACTACGCCGCCAGGGACTCAAATCCTGCAGTGCCAGACGTGTCCCCCTGCCTAAGCCAGTACATGTCCAGGCCCGTCTGAAGTTTGCTAGAGTGCATTTGGATGATCCAGAAGAGGATTGGGAGAATGTCATATGGTCAGATGAAACCAAAATATAACTTTTTGGTAAAAACTCAACTCGTCGTGTTTGGAGGACAAAGAATGCTGAGTTGCATCCAAAGAACACCATACCTACTGTGAAGCATGGGGGTGGAAACATCATGCTTTGGAGCTGTTTTTCTGCAAAGGGACCAGGACGACTGATCCGTGTAAAGGAAAGAATGAATGGGGCCATGTATCGTGAGATTTTGAGTGAAAACCTCCTTCCATCAGCAAGGGCATTGAAGATGAAACGTGGCTGGGTCTTTCAGCATGACAATGATCCCAAACACACCGCCCGGGCAACGAAGGAGTGGCTTCGTAAGAAGCATTTCAAGGTCCTGGAGTGGCCTAGCCAGTCTCCAGATCTCAACCCCATAGAACATCTTTGGAGGGAGTTGAAAGTCTCTGTTGCCCAGCGACAGCCCCAAAACATCACTGCTCTAGAGGAGATCTGCATGGAGGAATGGGCCAAAATACCAGCAACAGTGTGTGAAAACCTTGTGAAGACTTACAGAAAACGTTTGACCTGTGTCATTGCCAACAAAGGGTATATAACAAAGTATTGAGAAACTTTTGATATTGACCAGATACTTATTTTCCACCATAATTTGCAAATAAATTCATTAAAAATCCTACAATGTGATCTTCTGGAGAAAAAAAACTCATTTTGTCTGTCATAGTTGACGTGTACCTATGATGAAAATTACAGGCCTCTCTCATCTTTTTAAGTGGGAGAACATGCACAATTGGTGGCTGACTAAATACTTTTTTTCCCCACTGTAGGCCTATCAGGGTCTATGGGCTACCTTCATCTATCTAAACAAACCATGGAAAAGTTTAATTACAATCATAAACCCAGATTTTAGTCTGTAGCCTATGCCAATTGAAATGACAAGTACATCTTGCAAATGGGCCATTTACAATGGCTTGCGAAAGTACATTTACATTTACATCATTTAGCAGACGCTCTTATCCAGAGCGACTTACAAATTGGTATTCACCCCCTTGGCATTTTTCCTATTTTGTTACCTTACAACCTGGAATTAAAATTGATTTTTGGGGGGTTTGTATCATTTGATTTACACAACATGACTACCACTTTGAAGATGCAAAATGTTTTTTTATTGTGAAACAAACAAGAAATAAGACAAAAAAACAGAACTTGAGCATGCATAACTATTCACCCCCCCAAAGTCAAGACTTTGTAGAGCCACCTTTTGCAGCAATTACAGCTGCAAGTCTCTTGGGGTATGTCTCTATAAGCTTGGCACATCCAGCCACTGGGATTTTTGCCCATTCTTCAAGGCAAAACTGCTCCAGCTCCTTACATTTACATTTACATTTACGTCATTTAGCAGACGCTCTTATCCAGAGCGACTTACAATTTGGTGCATTCACCTTATAGCCAGTGGGATAACCACTTTACAATATGTATTTTTTTCTTTTCTTTTTTTCCTTCAAGTTGGATGGGTTCCGCTGGTGTACAGCAATCTTTAAGTCATACCACAGATTCTCAAATTGAATTGAGGTCTGGGCTTTGACTTGGCCATTCCAATTCATTTTAAATGTTTCCCCTTAAACCACTCGAGTGTTGCTTTAGCAGTATGCTTAGGGTCATTGTCCTGCTGGAAGGTGAACCTCCGTCCCAGTCTCAAATCTCTGGAACACTGAAACAGGTTTCCCTCAAGAATTTCTCTGTATTTAGCGCCATCCATCATTCCTTCAATTCTGACCAGTTTCCCAGTCCCTGCCGATGGAAAACATCCCCACAGCATGATGCTGCCACCACAATGCTTCACTGTGGGGATGGTGTTCTCGGGGTGATGAGAGGGGTTGGGTTTGCGCCAGACATAGCGTTTTCCTTCATGGCCAAAAAGCTCAAGTTTAGTCTCATCTGACCAGAGTACCACCTTCCATATGTTTGGGGAGTCTCCCACATGCCTTTTGGGGAACATCAAACGTGTTTGCTTATTTTTTTCTTTAAACAATTGCTTTTTTCTGGCCACTCTTCCGTAAAGCTCTGTGGAGTGTACGGCTTAAAGTGGTCCTATGGACAGATACTCCAATTGCTGCTGTGGAGCTTTGCAGCTCCTTCAGGGTTATCTTTGGTCTCTTTGTTGCCTCTCTGATTAATGCCCTCCTTGCCTGGTCCGTGAGTTTTGGTGGGCGGCCCTCTCTTGGCAGGTTTGTTGTGTTGCCATATTCCTTCCATTTTTTTATAATGGATTTAATGGTGCTCCGTGGGATGTTCAAAGTGTCGGATAACCCTGATCTGTACTTCTCCACAACTTTGTCCCTGACCTGTTTGGAGAGCTCCTTGGTCTTCATGGTGTCTTCACGGCTTGCTTGGTGGTGCCCCTTGCTTAGTGGTGTTGCAGAATCTGGGGCCTTTCAGAACAGGTGTATATAATTTATACTGAGATCATGTGACAGATCATGTGACACTTAGATTGCACACAGGTGGACGTTATTTAACTAATTATGTGACTTCTGAAGGTAATTGGTTGCACCAGATCATATTTAGGGGCTTCATATCAAAGGGTGTGAATACATATGCACGCACCACTTTTCCGTTATTTAGCTTTTTTAGAGTTTCTTGAAACAAGTAATTTTTTTCATTTCACTTCACCAATTTGGACTATTTTGTGTATGTCCACTACATGAAATCCAAATAAAAATCAATTTAAATTACAAGTTGCAACAAAATAGGAAAAACGCCAAGGGGGATGAATACTTTTGCAAGGCACTGTATACACTGCAAATCAATTTATAACATTTTTGACATGTGTTTTTCTGGATTTTTTTGTTGTTATTATGTCTCTCACTGTTCAAATAAACCTACCATTAAAATTATAGACTGATCATTTCTTTGTCAGTGGGCAAACGTACAAAATCAGCAGGGGATCAAATACTTTTTTCCCTCACTGTATATCAGACGGTATACCACGTGTATGACAAAACACCCCCTGGTGCCTTATTGCTTAATTATAAACCGGGTTCCAGCCCTGAATGCTGATTGGCTGAAAGCCATGGTATACTTAAGCAATAAGGCACGAGGGGGTGTGGTACATGGCCAATATAACACGGCTAAGGGCTGTTCTGAGGCACGACGCATCGCAGAGTGCATGGACAAAGCCCTTAGCCGTGGTATATTGGCCATATACCACAAACCCCCGAGGTGCCTTATTGTTATTATAAACTGGTTACCAACGTAATTAGAGCAGTACAAATATTTTTTTTGTCATACCCCTGGTATGATATACCACTGCTGTCAGCCAATCAGCATTCAGGGCTGATTGGCTGTTAGCCATGGTATATGGCCAATATACCATGGCTAACAGCTGTATCCAGGCACTCTGCGTTAGGTCATACTTAAGAACGGCCCTTAGCCCTGGTACAGTATATTGGCCATATACCAAACCCCTCGTGCCTTTAATAAGGCCGAATTATGTTTTCTCTTGCAACATATTCAAATTCGTTTATTATGTCATGTCATAGTTTGCAATTATTATTATTTTCATGAAAACCGAATTGTGCTTCTAACATCATTACAAGTTACGTCAATATTCCTTCTTAATTGGCTCGATAACGTTATGTAAAAAGGGTTTATTGTATAAATATGGCAACTGCTCTCTTGCTGTGAAAAAAAAAAGGGGTTTGTTTTGCAGGCCTTTTGTCAGGATTAAGTGCTCATTGTTACATTTTAATAGGACCTGGCAACCCTGGACAAATTTAGCCGCGCCCCCCATTCTGTGTCCAGATCACCCCGCAGGAACATCGCCGGACCTGAATAACTTATTGGCCCCTACCGTCCACTCCTTCTGGACGTTCTGCCAGGCCTAGACGGTTTTGGCGAGGACTACAGTGGGGGTTGTTAGCTAGGTAGCTTGAATAGCTAACGTTAGCTATAGGCATTTGGTATGACATGTGCCTGTGGTCCAAATACCTTTGTGCTTGATTGTGTTGCTAGCTAGCTACAGTAGCTATTGAGTCACTGTCGGATTTGGAGGGACAGTTATTTACAACAACATAGCTAGCTACGTGTCTTACTAGTTAACGTTAATGCTTTGTTACCATAATGTTAGCTTGCTAGCCAGTTTATTGCTAGCTTGTGCCTGTATGCCAATAACTAGCTAGCCATTGCTAACTTATCTAGCCATCTTACGTTAGCATTTTAGCAAGGTGTTTTAGACCAGACTACAGACAGGTTAGCTTGGCTAGCTAATCACCTCCTTGTCACCCTGTTTGATTTGATAGATGCACAGGCTAGTTTGAAGGCTAGCTAGGCAGGCAGGTGGCTCTTTTGGATTGTTTGATCTGCCAACTGCATTAAGTCACTCTTCTGGAGACTGCAAGTTGGGATCAATAAGCTTAACGCTGGATACGATAAAAACTTTATCTAGCAATCAAATTATTCTCTAAAACAAAACATGGCCCCCAAAAGAAGACCAGTGCCCCTAAACATCACTCCCACTGGTGGTGAGGGAGGATTGTCCACCTCTACGACCATCACTGCTGCCTCAGGGTAAGTGTAATTGTTCAGCAGACACACTTCAAGTCAACCTCTACTTTCAAAGTCTTAACCATGATCTAATTCATCCCCCAATCCTCCATCCCTTCCTCTCAGGGCTAACCTGGAGGCCCTACAGAAGAAGCTGGAAGAGTTGGATCTGGATGAGCAGCAGAAGATGCGCTTGGAGGCTTTCCTTACCCAGAAAGCCAAAGTGGGCGAGCTGAAAGACGACGACTTCCACCGCATCTGTGAGCTGGGCGCTGGCAACGGAGGCGTGGTGAACAAGGTGTGCCACAAACCCTCAGGCCTGGTCATGGCCAGAAAGGTAAGTGGTGTGAATTCTGTTGCCAGTATGAAGTAGACACCCCCGGAGTATGAAGGACACCCCCCGAAGCATTTTCTTAGGGTGTTTTCACATATAGTACTCTTTCAAATAACTGATCTCAGTCCTCTTTAAAGTGAGCAGTGAGGTAAAACAAAAAAAGCGAAATAACTCTTCTCTTTTTATTCACTCTGCAATTGCCTTTGAATGAGGACTCAACTCTTTTGCAAGTTCACTTCACCTATTTTGTGGTCTATTTTGTGGTCAGAGTCCTCTGCATTCACATTGCTATGTTTAGAAAGGAACCAAGATATTTTTCCAATAGACACTCAATGCACTCTGGGTTTTTACAAAGTGCAGGACAAGCCATTCCATCAGAACATGTTATCTGACAGCTTAAAAAAAGTAAAAACATTTTACTGGAAAAACTTTTCATCTGCCAGTTTTTCCAGTAAATGTTTTTTTGTTACAGTAGTAGTCCTTGTACATAGAGTTCTATGGTTTTGTTAAACTTTGAAATCAATGGTTTTTGTTTGGTATACATTATCATATTGCTTACACCTGTCTGATCCTTATGGATTTGGAAGCATTTAGGAGAAGAGTATAGGGGTTGATTTCAGACTAGACACTTATCTGTCATGCTAGTGTAACCAGTGTGAAATGGCTAGCTAGTTCACGGTGCGCGCTAGTAATGTTTCAAACGTTGACGTCACTTGCTCTGAGACCTTGAAGTAGTTGTTTCCCTTGCTCTGCAAGGGCTGCAGGTAATGTGGAGCGATAGATAATGATGCTTATTGGGTGACTGTTGTCTGTGTCCCTGGTTCAAGCACAGGTTAAGGCAAGGAGAGGGACGGAAGCAACACTGTCAGTTACACTAACAAAGCAATTAGACTGCCATTTTGATTCAAAACCAGCGTAGCCTACTCATGGCTACTAGTGTTGAGACAAAGCTGTATAGATTTTTGGTGTATGTATTGTATTCATCCCTCCTCCCTCGTCTCCTTAGCTAATCCATCTGGAGATCAAGCCAGCCATCAGAAACCAGATCATCAGAGAGCTACAGGTGCTGCTTTAGTTGTGATTTAACTTCAAATTAAAATAAATGTAGTACTCCACAATGGTAAATGTTTTATTCACTCTTAGGGATATTTAAATATCTCAACATTATCAATCATTTGGTAAAATAATTTTTTGAATAAGGCTATTCCCCTATGTGTTTGTAAACCCCCCCCCCTCTCTGTTTCCCTCAGTTGCTACATGAGTGTAACTCACCCTACATCGTTAGTTTCTACGGGTCCTTCTACAGCGATGGAGAGATCAGCATCTGCATGGAACACATGGTGAGGGAGGGGGAGAGAATGGGGGGGATGGAGTGGGGGTGAGAGAGAGTGCCTTTCAAGAGCAAGGGAAATATTTTGTAGGACTAGGGGGAGATGGTGAAGTTGCAAATGCGATGCAGGTAGACTCAGACCTTGACCTACTGTGAACTGTTGATGTATGGTAGTGAGGTGGTTGTGAGTGAGTGGCTCTCCTCTCTCCCTACAGGATGGGGGCTCCCTGGACCAGGTGCTGAAGGAGGCCAAGAGGATCCCTGAGGAGATCCTAGGGAAAGTCAGCATCGCTGTGAGTATCAATAAAGCAGCTAGGATGAAGATATAGCCTAATGATATTTCCAGTAAGAAAGGTGGCTAGCTTTCCAATGCCATTTTAAGAGAAGACTTACCCAAAACATTTTGTCCTCGTCTTCACAGGTTCTAAGAGGGTTAGCCTATCTACGAGAAAAACACCAGATCATGCACAGAGGTACACGTTGATTTATGTTATACAGTTTGATTTACAAACTGGATAGTTACAGTGTAGTTAGATTTGTGTCCCTGCCTTTTGTCTTTTTTGTGTGTAGTTGCCCAGACGCACTAACATCCCCTTCCTGTCCCCCAGACGTGAAGCCCTCTAACATCCTGGTGAACTCTCGTGGGGAAATCAAGCTGTGTGACTTTGGTGTGAGCGGCCAGCTCATAGACTCCATGGCCAACTCCTTCGTGGGAACACGCTCCTACATGTCGGTGTGTACACCTCCTCTCTCATAGTGTGTGTGTGAGAGTGTACGTGTGTGTGTGTGTGTGTAAGCCTCTGTGTAATCCATTTATCTCTGTGTCTCTAACCAATAGCCGGAGCGATTGCAGGGCACCCACTACTCTGTTCAGTCAGACGTGTGGAGTATGGGTCTGTCTCTGGTGGAGCTGTCTATCGGCCGGTACCCCATCCCCCCTCCGGATGCCAAGGAGCTGGAGGCCATCTTCGGACGGCCCGTCATGGATGGTGCCGAGGGAGACGTGCACAGCAGCATCTCACCCCGACCCAGACCCCCCGGGGGCAGACCTGCCAGCGGTGAGAACACACACACACACAGTATATCCTCCAGATGGAGCGAATTAACATATTTGTACAATTGATCTCAGTAATGTTTGACTGTCTTGCAGGCCACGGTCCTGCGATGGCCATCTTTGAGCTGCTGGACTACATTGTCAACGAGGTGAGCACTGCTGAGGATACCACCCCCTAATTGGCCATAGAATAATACAAATTATTGTCATGGAACGTTTGGTGCAAAGCAAAAATATGACCAAACTCTATATCCATGTCATAGTGTATAGATGGGGTAGTTTTTTTAATTCTGATCATCTTTTTGTTCCAGCCTCCCCCCAAACTGCCCCATGGAGTATTCACTTCTGATTTCCATGACTTCGTGACTAGATGGTGAGTACCCTTCAGTCTGAATGATTTATGAATACAATGTCTTGATTTATTGAATTTATTTGGGTAAAAACATATACATATATACAACAAGATGTACAATGAATTCCCAGAGGATAGCACTTAACCCTTTACACTCGTGGGAATTGGCCTATATGGATGGGGCTAAATTGAAATGTTTCCTACAGAAGAAATATGAAATGCATAAGCATGGTAGCAATTGAAAGGGAACAGTTTGGAGATTATGGGACAATTATTAGACCAAAGTTGAGGACACAACAATTCACCTGACACAAGACTGAATCCAAACAATACACTTCATTTTATGTGCATTATACATTTTATTGTACTTTTCGGCGCATTTGCTGATAACTAAATCTGAAAATACTCTGAATAAATTCAGTAATATGATAAGAATATTCCTGGAAAATGTGGGGTAGGTGCAACATATTTTTTGTTGTTGCAAGGGTTTGAATTAGAGGACTAACTGCTGTCTCCAAGTGGCCACACACCTCTCCAAAGTGTGCACAGCTAAGTTATAAAATACGATCTTACAGTGTTAGGCTTTCACAGGGCAATTCAGAGAAACCGATCGTCATTTTGGTGCGCATAAAATGGAGTCATGCGTGTATTCAGGTGCGTGTTCCGCAGCAAAGGGCGGCAGGTAGCTTAGTGGTTAAGAGCGTTGTGCCAGTAACCGAAAGGTCGCTGGTTCTAATCCCCGAGCCGACTAGGTGAAAAATCTGTCGATGTGCCCTTGAGCAAGGCACTTAACCCTAATTGCTCCTGTAAGTCGCTCTGGATAAGAGCGTCTGCTAAATGACAAAAAAATAAAAAGTTATTCACAATAGACTAACATAGGCTCATTCTGTTCAGAACCACTCTGGGTATGACACCATGTCTTCTTATAACTGTACATCAAAGATGGTGATTGTAAACGTTGACGTTGTATATGACATGAGTTTGATAATACGGAAGTAAATGTGAAGTGTATATTTGGACTCACGGGTGTTTGGCCTGCTTGTATGACATCAAAGCCATTATTATAATCCTCAACGTCTCATCTTTCAAAATACATAGAGTCCTCTTAATTTACAGCCTTTCCTTCACTCAGACAACAAAACAGTTTCAAAAGTTGCCCAATTAGCGGCAGGGATGGGGGCAACTTCTTGTCGGGTGCTCAAGTTCAGAAAGGCTGTCAGCCAAACCCATACAGCGCTGTCAAGCGCAGAGCCTGAGCTCTGACGTCATTTGTAGCATGTTCCTGTACAGCCACTGTCCCAATTTAGGCACACGTCGGGGCCATAATCTGCAATATCCAACCCGTATACGGGTATGAGTATAAAGGGATACAAGTATGAAGTAAAACACCCGTTTCCAAAGTGGTCCTCAACATTAGAAGTCATTAGATCTCACTGCTTTGTTAGAGATCTATGAATTTACTGCGACTTTCTTGTGCATCCTCAGTCTCATCAAGAACCCAACAGACCGGGCTGACCTGAAAATGCTGATGGTGAGTTTTGTGCTTTCTTATTAACTGCCTCACTTATAACAACCAGAGAAATAGACAGGATATATATTTCACAGTACATGCTGAAGCCACAGATGTAGTTTTGTACTGAGCCATGTATCTCTGTTGTGTTTGTTTCAGAACCACACGTTTATCAAGCGCTCGGAGGTAGAGGAGATGGACTTTGCTGGCTGGCTCTGTAAAACAATGGGGCTGAACCAACCCAGCACTCCCACACGCACTGCAGACTAAACACACACACACGCATGCAGCGGCCTGAACACGCATACAGACTAATGGACACACACATAGACACACACACACATATATATATATATATATATATATATATATATATATATATATATATATATATATATATATATATGACAGCAACAACAAAAAACTTTCCTTGTCAGCCACCTTTCCTCTCTTAGGTGATCCTGGTATGAATTGGCCCTAGTCATTCCTCTAACTATGTCAGAAACAAGCCCACAGTTACAACCTTAATCAACATTGCTTCAATGGTGTGGTTAGGGCAACCCCTCATTCTGTTGTCAGATTCCCCTGTCAGATTCCATCAAAGCGGTCTGGCTGTTGTAGTCTGCATTATCAACAGTGTGGCCTCAGGGAGCTTCATTACCCTGGACGAGCAGACTTAAGGTGTAAAATAGGCCTGGTCAGAGGTAGAGGCTTTAGATATACAGACTCAAGAGGTGAACTCTGAGTTAACAATCTTCACGGTTGCCATGTTGGCACCAAAAGTTTGGGATTTTACATATTTATCTACAGTGCCTTTAGAAAGTATTCACATCCCTTGACTTTTTCCACATTTTGTTGTTACAGCCTGAATATAAAATGGATGCAGTCGAGATTTTGTCTCACTGATCTGCACACAATACCCCATAATGTCAGTGGAATTACGTTTCTACAAAATTAATTTAAAATGAAAAGCTGAAATGTCTTGAGTCAATAAGGAAGTTCAGGAGTAGAAATGTGATTAACAAGTCACATAATAAATTGCATGCACTCACTCTTTGTGCAATAATAGTGTTTAACATGATTTTTACAATTATCTGTAAGGTCCCTCAGTCGAGCAGTGAATTTCAACCACAAAGACCAGGGAGGTTTTCCTATGGTTCGAAAAGAAGGGCACCTATTGGTAGATGGGTATAAAAAAAAAAACGGACATTAAATATCCCTTTGAGCATGGTGCAGTTATTAATTTTACACTTTGGATGGTGTATCAATACATCCAGTCACTACAAAGATACAGGCGCCCTTCCTAAATCATTTGCTGGAGAGGAATTTCACCATGAGGCCAATGGTGATTTTAAAAGTTACAGAGTTTAATGGCTGTGATCAGAGATAAATGAGGATGGATCAACAACCTTAACATAAAATGACAGAGTGAAAAGAAGAAAGCCTGTTCAGAATAACAAATATTCCAAAACATGCATCCTATTTGCAAGAAGGCACAAAAGTAGTACTGCAAAAAATGTGGCAAAGAAATGTACTTTTTGTCCTGAATACAAAGCGTTATGTTTGGGGAAAACACAACACATCACTGAGTACCACTCTTCATATTTTCAAGCATGGTGGCGGCTGTATCTATTATGGGTATGCTTGTTATCGGCAAGGACTAAGGAGTTTTTTTTAGGATAAAAAGAAACAGAATAGAGCCAAGCACAGGCAAAATCCTAGAGGAAAACCTGGTTCAGTCTGCTTTCCAACAGACACTGGGAGACATTCAACCTTTCAGCAGGACAATAGCCTAAAACACAAGGCCAAATATACACTGGAGCTGCTTACCAAGATGACATTGAATGTTCCTGAGTGGCCTAGTTACAGTTTTGACTTGAATCGGCTTGAAAATCTATGGCAAGACTTAAATGGCTGTCTAGCTATGATCAACAACCAACTTGACAGCTTGATTCATTTTTTTCAACGAATAATGGGAAAATATTGTACAATCCAGATGGCAAAGCTCTTAGAGACTTACCCAGAAAGACTCACAGCTGTAATCGTTGCCAAAGGTGATTCTAACATGTATTGACTCAGGGGGTTGAATACTTATCTAATCAACAACAACAAAAAATATATAAAAATGTCCACTTTGACATTAGTGTTTTGTGTAGATCGTTGACAAAAAATGACAAATCAATTTTAATCCCACTTTGTAACACAACAAAATATGGGAAAAGGCAAGGGGTGTTGATCATTTCTGAAGGCACTGTACATTTTGCGTTGTACCAGAACCCTTTTGAGCAGAGAGGTTACGCAGAAATATACACATTGTAAAAAAAAACAGACAGACAGGAAATCAGGACACTTGACGTCACAAACTAAGCGAGACCTATTTCAGCTTCCTGAGTATGTAAAAATCTTATTTTACTTTTCTTATTTATTTAGCTTTTCAATTACATGTTTCAATCACTCTGTACAACCAAAACATCATGGGCCACAGCTGCAGTGTTTGACATTGGTCTTTTGGCAGGCCATTGGTATGGTTACAATCATGATTAGGAGTTAATGTACATGTATGTCAATACATATGAGTATGTTTACACGTCTCTATGTGTATACATATTCAGCAGAGGAGGCTGGTGGGAGGAGCTATAATGTCTGGAATGGAATCAATTGAATAGTAATAAACATGGAAACTACAGCCTCCTCTGATATTCAGATATGTTAAGCTTATATGCATACATCAGTTTTATTTATTTATTTTTCTCTTTTGGCAGAGTGTCAATGAGATGGGTGATGATACTGAAATACTGCACTGATGATGCAACTGTGGGTGTGTTGCTTCCTGTCCAATTCTTTCACATCAGTGAAGTTTAGGGAAATGATACTAGAAGAGGATGCCATTTAGACTATTGAGATGCAGCCCTAGTGTCTGTGTCCTGGCCAGGCTCCCTCCATCCCTTTGTCTGTAGGAGAGATGCATGCCTGACCTGTGTTGGGAGATGAACACACTTTAACCAGAGTAATTCATATCTATATCTCCTAATACAGTGTTTCCAAACTCCTGTCCTTGAGTATCCCTAACAGCACACATGTTTGTTGTAGCCCCGGACAAACTCACCCTCAGAACAGCTTCAATTTGTTGCGGCATGGACTCTACAAGGCGTCAAGAGTTCCACAGGGATGCTGGCCCATGTTGACTCCAATGCTTCCCACTGTTGTGTCAAGTTGGCTGGATGTCCTTTGGATGGTGGACCATTCTTGATACACACAGGAAACTGTTGAGTGTGAAAAACCCAGCAGCGTTGCAGTTCTTGACACAAACCGGTGCATCTGGCACCTATTACCATACCCCGTTCAAAGGCACTACAATATTTTGCCTTTCCCATTCACCCTCTGAATGGCACACATACACTATCCGTGTCTCAATTGTCTCAAGGTTTAAAAACCCTTCTTTAACCTGTCACCTCCCCATCAAATCAAAATCACATTTTATTTGTCACATGTGCCGAATACAACAGGTGTAGACCTTACCGTGAAATGCTTACTTACAAGCCCTTGACCAACAATGCATTTTTAAGAAAATAGAGTTAAGAAAATATTTACTAAATAAACTAAAGTAAAAAAAGTTACACAATAAAATAACAATAATGAGCCTATATATAGGGGGTACCGGTACCGAGACAATGTGCGGGGGTACAGCTTAGTCGAGGTAATTTGTACATGTAGCTAGGGGTAAAGTCTGGGTGTCCATTTGATTAATTGTTCAGCAGTCTTATGGCTTGGGGGTAGAAGCTTTTTAAGGAACCTTTTGGACCTAGACTTGGCGCTCCGGTACCGCTTGCCATGCGGTAGCAGAGAGAACAGTCTATGACTTTGGTGACTGGAGTCTTTGACAATTTTTGGGGCCTTCCTCTGACACTGCCTAGTATATATGTCCTATTGGCAGGAAGCTTGGCCCCATGATGTACTCGGCTCTACGCACTACCCTCTGTAGCGCCTTACGGTTGGATGCCGAGCAGTTGCCATACCAGGAGGTGATGCAACCAGTCAGGATGCTCTCAATAGTGCAGCTGTAGAACTCTTTGACGATCTGGGGACCCATGCCAAATCTTTTCAGTCTCCAGAGCGTTGTCGTGCCCTCTTCATGACTTTCTTGGTGTGTTTGGACCAGGATAGTTTGTTGGTGATATGAACACCCAAGGAACTTGAAACTCTCTCTTCATCTACACTGATTAAAGTGGATTTAACAAGTAACATCAATAAGGGATCATAGCTTTCACCTGGTCAGTCTGTCATGGAAAGAGCATGAGTTCTTAATGTTTTGTACACTTAGTGTATATAAAAGCATGTATACAGCAGGGCATGGATCTGCCATGAAGGAAGTGCATTTATGTGTCCTGGGGGGGGGGTTCGAGGACCTTTCGCTGCTTTCTTTGGTTCTCTTTGTGTATTTCTTCTCAGCAATGGTTTAAAACTGGGGATGGTTTGTACCACGTCAAAACCATCAAAAAGGTTGTTTTCATGTCATAATTGTCAATAAATGGTATGTATTGTCAAAACGGAACATAGTCTCCTTATTTTCTATAAAACTATTGAAAGCAAATGATAAAGGGCATGACATGAACTACCGGTACCTTGGGGTGTATTCACTAGGAACGAGACGGGGAGGGACCTACCTGAATTTGTCAAATACACTCTTGTTTTGGTAGCAATCATTTTGCAACTGTTTGCTACGTTGTGATATAACACTCATGATACCACTAGGGGGAAGTATAGCAATTCAGAGGCGCTCAGGATAGAAGTTGGCCTCAAACACAGATCTATGACCAGCTTACCAAGAGGGAAAACAGCAAACCTGACCTTAGATTAGTGTTTAAAAACAATTGTATCATACCCCTTCAAAGGCCACTTCAGTCAACAAATTCTCCACAGCCGACCTTAGCTATGTGCTATGGATGTTTTGGTTGTGTGTGTGCGTGTACGCTCGCGTTTGAGCATGTGTGTATGCGTGTGTCGGGGGATAAGTCTAAAGCTTAAAGAGCTCAGATTGCAGCAGATTGTGTGCAGGTTTTTGTATATATGTATGTGTGTGTACGCACGTTTGTGTGTTGAGTGTGGTGGGGGTAATTCTACAACTTATAGAGGAGGGGGGCTATGGGGGGGGGGGTTGCTCTAAGCCACTGCGGCAGTAAAACAGCAAAGTCTGCAGTCATTAATATGCAAATATGCAAATTAGAGGGTAATTAAGATCCTGCGTTCGTCAGTGGCTCTTTGATTGCTAA